ACCAGCATCACGTGACTTCCACTGTTGTAACATCATATAAGCTGGTCTTCAATAACCCTAATTTTTTTCTAACTATGTTGGTTGTCCAAAATATAATTCATGTTACCTTCAAATATGCATTTTAAAACAAAAAATATACCAATCATTAGAATATAATGTCCCAAAGCTACTGTAATTTATCTGCCTTTCTAACTAAACTATAAATATGTTAAAAACCTTCTATTTTCTGCTCAAAATTTAATAACAGCAATCATGTACACAGAATCTAAGGCCAACTGTCAAGGTATATTCACCAATTAGAAACAATTGTAATAAGGTTTTACATAGAGGAAAATATGCTGTTTGCAAGCTTTCCCTTATCTATTTAGTATACAAGGATGACAATTTCCCAGTACCTGTTCTAACAGTTCTGTCATACAGATATCCATAGCCACTGTATCAGAACTATGTGTTTACATTGTTTTGGATTTCATGGGTAATGTGATGCCACCTAAACATTGATCTCTTTTGAGAATTGTATGTAACAGCCCTTTCTGATACCAAATATTCATATACTCAAGTCATAAAGATGTGTTCAGATCAGGAATTTAGGTATGTCTTTGTATGCAATAGCACAAATACCCACTCCATTCTCCAACTGCTTGAGTTTTGCAATAGTTGAATAGGATGTATAACTGGAGGCCTTTTCTTGCAGAATTAGTATCATGTTGCCTCATTTCCAAAAAAACTGGTATTTATGTGTGGAAAAAAGGGTCCAGTACATTGGTCTGATAGTAAGCAAAATTCACCTTGATTTGTGTCCACTCTTTTGATACCTATTTTGCCCCTGGTGCAGTATCCAGCAATGATCATTAATCCCTTCAATTATGTTTCATGATATGCTGTATACCACTTTTGTAAATATTTTTCATTCAGTGACCAGTAGAAAATAGAATGAAACTTGTTACAGTTATCAAAGTGCACATATGATTTTTTTAATGTCACCACGTACTGCTGTTTTTCCACAGCTAGGTGCTGTTCATACACTTGGTCCTCCTTTCCTTAGTCTGCCATGGAAGAATGTGTGTACACTGACTTGTGTCATTGTTTACGATGGAGCTCCATCTTGATTGTGTTGCATACTGTTGCTTGAGGCATGTGACAACTTTTGCCACTGATCTTTATGTTTGTGGATTCTCATCTGTTATAAGATGTCACACTTTGCTTACTATGGTTGAGATATGAGTTGTTGCAGATCTCTTTCTGGGTGGTCCTGGGGCCCCAGGTTGATTCATGTTCCTTTGTTTTCCAATGCTATTAAATACAAAGGATATTCCTGTTTTGAAAATTCTAAATCCCTGATCTAAAGACATCTTTATGATTTCAGTGTATGATTATTTGGTGCCAGAAAGGGCTGTTATATACAATTAACAAAAGTGATAAATCTTTAGGTGGCATCACACTAGCTACAAACCAATGCCAATATGTAGGTCTGATACATTTTGTTCCACTGCAACTTTACATTGGCTGTATTTGTTATGGGACTTGCTGATATGCATTTTCAAAATTGTATTACTCTAATGTATTCAACTCTCTGTAGATATAAAAAATAAAACCCAAAAGTCAAATAAACCTTATTTTGTGGCTCCACATCTTTAAAAGTTCTTTAGTGAAACCATAAAAAATGATAACCTGAACAACAAAAGTGAAAAAAAGTAAAAACAAAGCTATATAAAATCTTTACCTAAGCAATATATTTTAAAGTTATACAAGTTTTAGGACAGTGTGTAGTAACAAAAGTGATATAGTCTTTTCTTAGGCTTTTTCTTCATAAATTTCCTCAAAATTTATTTCAACCTAAATTTAAACCTCTCAGTAATATTTATTGGATGAATAAATTTAAGAAGGTAATTCTTAACTTAACTTAATCGTTTCTTCATTGAAAATCATACATATACAGGTGTAATATTAACATAAATCCTAAATTGATATGTAGACTTGAGAATGTGAAAAAACATTATGGTTATAATGTTCAACCAAGTGGATTTTACATATTTATTACTTTGTAAAATGTGTGTAAATAATCTGTATGCTTAAAAAAATTTTGTTATTCGTGTGTATTTAGTTCAGATTTTTTACAGTGATGATGTTTAATGTGAATTATTTTAATTGGTATGTTTAATAAAATATTAATATGTATTCACAACGTACAGTTTCCAGAACAAGAAATTTTTTGATCGAATAAGCTCAAATAGTGTTTATCAACCAAGATATTTTTTATTTATCTATATATTTCTGTAAAATGTTTTATTAAACAATACATGCATGTCTATCATATACCAATATAACATTCCAGACTTTACCTAATAGGTTAATGGTGAAGATTTAAGAGATGCCACCCACGAACAAGCCATCACAGCATTAAGACAGACATCATCAGTGGTCAAGATGGTTGTTTATAGAGAAGAAACCACAAGTTCAGAAGAAGACCTCATGGACATCATGGATATAGAACTGTTTAAGAAATCTACTCGAGGATTGGGACTGAGTATTGTTGGAAGAAAGAATGGCCCAGGTGTCTTTATTTCAGAAGTAGTAAGTTTAGCAGCTTTGTAAATTAACATAGCAAAAGTATACTGTAACTAATTTTAAGTTGTGTACAGTTGATGAAAGAATGAACCACCTGTCTTTATTTCAGAAGTAGTAGATTTAGTAGTTTATTTTTTAATGGAACAGAAAAGTTTATACTGTAACTAAGTTTTAAGTTGTGTATATTGAACAAAAACAAATTGAACCAGCTGTTTTAATTTCAAGAAAAATTAGTTATATTAAGATTTCTTTTCTGGAGTGCTCAAAATTATAATTGTCTAAGATACTATAAATAAATATGAAGCCCAAATGATTATTCAATTCACACTTTTCACTGCGTTATACTGATTTTGGAGAATTCCATCCATCATCAGTTAACCTGTACAAGGGCAAACTGAAATAACAAAACTTAAAGGAAAGTAAAGGAAAACTCAAAAAGCTGTACATATATAATTTAACTGTAATTTGATTCCCCAATAATTTGTAGTAAGTGTTTTAAATGTGTCTGCATTAAAATTGGGTTTTCAATTTATGGATTATGTATCCAGTTATATTCTTATTCGTTGAGAACTAATTAATGTTTTAAGAGCCTAACATCTAAAAAATAAAAATATGCAGTTCAAGTTACACATCTACTAAACAGGTGAAGGGTGGTGCTGCTGAAGCTGATGGCCGACTGATTCAAGGTGACCAGATACTAGAAGTAAATGGTCAAGACCTGAGAAATAGTACCCAGGAGTATGCAGCCACTCTTCTTAAGGTGAGAATAATGATACTTAGCAAGTATATTGTTGTAAAAGCACATACTTGTCAATATAGAGAAACAGCCATGTTATATGATGTTAGACGTACAAACTTGTTATATTAAGAAACCGGGTTTGATGTGAATGGATTGATTGATTGTTATGTTATTATAGTAGTACCTTTTAAATTTCTTCTGCAATAAACTACTGAAACATCTTGCCTATTCCATCAGAAATATCAAGTATTTTGAATGTGCTTGAAAGTTCTTTAAACTAATTGTGTAGTGTTTTATTTTCAGACAACAGTAGGGAAAGTTAACATGAAAATTGGGAGATTAAAGCCAGGATCACGAAGAACTGATACTTGCAATCAATCAAAAGAAAGCGATTCATCAGAACCGTAAGTTAGCAATAGAACAGAATATTTTAAAACATACTGAACAGCACCTTTAATTATGAAGAACCTTGTGTTGTTTCTTTCTTACAGTACAAAACTTTATGAACTTTATCAGTTACTAAAATTGTAGTTTGCATATTTATTCTCTTGGTGTGTTTAAAGTTTTTGTGTTTAATTTTGAATAAGTATGAGAGCTCTCTTGGAATGCTGAATGCTAAAATAGACAAAATGGAAGTTAGGGCTACTTATACCCACTTCATCCTTTCAAGAATTATTCAAATCCACATAACTAATATCCTTAGATAAACATAATACCACTTTATAATAATACAGTGCATAGTTAGAAACTGCATCTATGGTTGTTTTAGTTGTTGGCTTTAATAAAAGTAAACATTTACAGTTTGAGACAAATATCCTTGTCATAGGTTTTTTAGTTAAATACACTATACTTTTTTTTAAAGTAATCTTTGTTATTTCTTCACTTCATGCAACATACCAGGAAAAGACAATAAAGGTAGGAAACACATTTTTAAGAGAAATGTTTGGTACAGATGTTGAAGCTTATTATTAATGGAGACTGATGTTAAAGTTATTTAATTGAACTCCATAAGAGTCACTGGAATATTTTTTCAGTCATAAAGAAATACATTCAACTTAGGACACACATTGTGTATCCACAAGCTTTCTTCAGTGTTGAGCATTTTTTCATTGGCCACACTTCCCAAGATGCTGAAATTGTTGGTTGTAATTCTAATGTCACAGTCTTGTAAACAGTGACGAAGAATGACCATCTGATTATATAGTATATTTTGTGCATCATCTTCAATTCTTGAACTCAAAAAACTAATTATAAAACCCACACAGTCATGGTTACACCATAAACATGTAAGTTTGTAGATAATGTAAAGCAATGCTTTTGGGGATCCTGTCTTTAAACTTGAAAGAATTACATGTCTGACCTATAGGTTTGAAAACAATTCTAAATTAATTTGTGGATAAATTTTGTTATTCAAAAGCATTTAATCTTTTTTTTTTCAATTCTATTGCACGTTTGCCAGTAAAAGGTAAAATACTAGAAGCAATTTCTATAGTTTCAACACATTTATTGATTTAAGAAATAATACTGTCAATCAATTGTACAGGAAAACTATTTTTTTGTAAAAAACCTTTATATTTTGTACTTCATGGAACCTAGAGAATGAACTAATTATATAAAATGTCTGATAAATTAAATTATTCTTAAATTCAAAAGGTAAAAACTGTCAGAATGAAAATATTGCCCAGTAAATGTTGGTTTATGATAACACTTAAGTTAACTTTCTTGGTATCTAAAAAAAGGTAAAGTTTTTACAGTTTGTTTTTCAATTTTCAATTTAATATTGTTGTGTTGATTGTTTAAATAATTTTGAAATACATGGACATCAAGTTTATTTCTAAAAACTACAAATTTAACCTCAACATATCTTGTGTAATATAAAGGTTTAAACTGTTCAGGACAACTTTCTAACCACCTTTTTTTCATGTCAACTTAAAAACAAAGTAGCTAAACCTGGTGCAACCAGTGAAACCATAGACATTCCATCAAGTTGTTCTCAATGACAACCATTAAAAAGAAATTAGACTATTTTGGAAAAATTATATTACTACTTAACTCTGTACTTCCTTTAACGGTAAATTTGTATATAAAGACTCGATGTCTAGACTACCAATATAGACAGGTTTGTCAAAAACTAGACACAATTTTTGAAAACTCATAACTATTTATTACCATAAATTCATTAATTAATTGAGATTTGAAGAAATCCACCAAAAAACTTGCTAATTATCAATGAAGGTATCTATACATGGCACAGTTGGTCTAATAGGACAATTTAGTTTATGTTTTAGGTAACTCATAAAATATTCCATAATGAGAACCAACTGACCTAATTCCATTATAAATAGCTTCTGATATTAACCCTTCTTTTTAATTTTTAACAAATACTTTTATAAATGTACTTCTATTGTTGCTGTAGGATCAGACTCTACTTTCTTAAATTTAATGTTATCATTTAAAAGTTAAAGCTTCATCAACATAATTTTTTGATTCAGAATTACTATACCATTACCTTTGTCCAGTTTACAAAGTACTAAACTATCTAGTGAACTAAGATTTTTTTAATCAAAAATTCTTCTTTAGATAATGTTTTTAGCTTTTTTTAGGATCAAAACTATAATATCCTGAAAGCACTAAATCTGATAACATTGTCACTGAAATTTCAGATTTAATGCTTTCAGTATATTATAGTTTGACCTTTGCGTCATCTACAAATTTACATGTCCAAGATGTAACTATGGCTATGTGGGTTCTACAATTCATTGTTTGAGCTCAAGAATTAAAGAGCGTGGACAAAATACAATATATAATCAGATGGTCATTCTTCATCACTGTTTGCAAAATCGTGACATTGGAATTACAACCAACAATTTCAGCACCTTGGGAAGTGTGTCCAATGAAAATATGCCCTGTCATAAATAAATAATGGTAACAACACTAGATAAGTACAGAATACCAAGTAATATAAAATTTAGTTAGGATCTACTATTACAGAGCATAAGTTTAGACATTTTAACATGTCTTCTTTGGTCGAACATAAGAAGACACATGTAAGTATCAAAACTTGTTTCTTTATAAACTTGTGTTACATAGTGTTAAATTATACCAAACGATCTTTAAACTTCAGGAAAAAATATATTGTCCCAAAATTTGACTTTATAAGGAGGCTACACGTATACATAATTGTACTTAGACCAAAAAGCATTATAATCACCCGATATAAGATGAAAACCGAATCTAAGAAATATAGATAACTTTCATTGTTTTTCTTTTACCTATCATTTTAAGATGGTTTGTGGAGTACTGAACTCTTCAATAGTCCTTTTACTAAACCTTCTCTACTTAAATTATCATTATACAGTTTCCAAGACTGTTTTTGTAGGCCTCTTAAAATGCAGTCTTAATCCCTAATAGTACAAGTCCTATTTTTTGGAAAAATTAAAGTAAAACGAAACAATAACTGAAAATTTTTAGAATTTTCTTTTAAGGATTAAAGATTTCACTCAAATTTATTTAAGAAAACTCTTTAGTAAACATTTATTGTGAAAGCTATATCAGTTGTTAGAAAAATGCAGTTATTGATTTTGTGAAGATGCTATATAATGGTGTCATCTTAGGTGTAGATTAAAAACCTGTACTTTGATAATTAATAAAGATGACAGTGTGAATACATCTCTTCCATTCTCAACCACAAAATGAAAAGGAACAGAAACAGACAAACCCTTAAGTCTATTATTTTAAGAGCATTTCTTCAAATTGATTTAGGCTGTCAAATTATACAGTTTCAGATATTGGATTTCGCTAACATTTTATAGGTTTTTTTAAGATGCTATCAATACTAGAAATATTTATCTCAAATATACATGAAACCAATGCCAATGCTGCTATTTGTTTAAGCATAGTATCCCATAAATATTCAGCCTAGTCAATTTGAATTCTTGAATTGTTAGTGTTAAAGATTTAGGTCTATTTTTAAAAGGCTTCTACTTCTAAAAGGAAAAATTTATAATAGAAGCAAAGAAAAACTGCATCTACATTTACCAGTTAGTTTTTCTTATTTCTTTATTGCTTGTTCTTAAGATGAGATGTTGGATTTCGTCTTATCCCACTGTTTTTTTCCACAGCCCACCTGAATACAAGACAATAGTACTACATCGAGGACCAGAGGGTTTAGGCTTTAGTGTAGTTGGTGGCTTTGGTAGCCCACATGGAGACCTACCCATTTTCATCAAGACTGTTTTTGAGAAGGGAGCAGCAGCAGAAGATGGGCAGCTAAAACGAGGGGACCAAATTCTTGCAGTGAATGACCAGAGCCTTGATGGTGTCACACATGAGGAAGCTGTAGAGATCTTAAAAAATACAAAAGGAGTTGTGACACTTACAGTTTTATCATAACCAGTCACTAGAGGACAGTGTTCCATACATGTCAGCATACCCTAACCTTCTGGCCAGTACAAGGGACCTCTGGTCAAGTAAACATTTTATTATCAAAACTGCTTGTTCATTTTTACATTAGTTTAGAACTAGACTGTTTTAAACTTTTTGCCACTCAGTAGAGGTGACTCCTTGTCAAGCTCTCAGACCATGGAATCTTTTGTCTGTAGTTTGGAAATTATTTCTAAGTAAAGTTGATTATCATTATAAGTGACCATTGGTCAGGCAGCCTAGAAATCATAGAAATTGTTACAAGTAGTTGACTTTTATCAGCATTCACATTCCATTTTCTGTGTATGGAAGCAGAACATGTTTTTGACACATCACATAAGGCCCATTCTTAGTGGGCTTGCAGCTAATCTTATCTATGCAGAATTTTAGCCAGTTGAACCTCACCCTTATATATATATATATATATATCACAACATCACAGGTTAATAATTTTCTCAGTTTACCTTTTCATCTTATTCTAGAGGCTGTTGTAATTAAAATCAAGTCATAGGTAATTTTAGATTTTAGAATATAAATTTACTCACGATGTTTCTCCTGTCTTTGTATGAATAACTAATTGTTTTAAAACTATCCTCTTCATTAGCTACTCTTTTTATCAGTATAATTGTACAATAAGATTTAAGGAAGCCATACGAGCTAATTCTTCAATTGTAACTGTTTTCTGTTATTTCCTCCTCTTTAGTGTTTATATCATAAGAATAAGCAACACCTTTTATATTTTATCTAGGAATAACTTGTTTCAGCACCAGGAAAGCCTTGTTTTAGCAGTAATAGTGTTTACTACATACTAAATGGATTCAGTAGAGTTTACTGACCTTCTCTGAACTAGAAAAATTTATATGTTGTTAAGTTACTATACTAGTTGATACTGAAATGGTAAAACAAATTGTTCTAAAACAAAAGTTAGACATTTTTGTCATATTTCTCTTATTAGAAAAGACTGTATTAGTTTTGCTTGACAGTAGTTGATACTGTAGCAGCTAAACAAAATACTTTTATCTATATCAGCAAAAGATAATTTTCCAAATTAATAATCAAAATGTCATTGAAAAGAGGAGAAATTGTAGGCATTGTTGGTATTTTAAAAATGTTACTTTAAGAGTTTTATATCGATGATCACTCTCCAGTTTTTTGAGTAAATATGGATTAAAATCAGCCAAGATATAAAATTAAAATCATGGTTACATTTTTCATTAAAGATCATATTTTTTTTATTTTCAAAAAAGTAACCACGAAATATGAGGTTTTCCAATGAGTAGCTAAGAAGATGAAACAAGAAGAATGTGTATTGTAAAACCCTCTTCAAACAATTTTGTGTGCCCCCCCACACACACATTTTGTGCTTGATTTCCTTTCTTCATTCTCGAGTGAATTAATTTATGGAAAAGTATTAGTGTATCATAAGAATATGGAAACATGCCTACACAAAAGCATATTGGATACGGGTATGATTCTTAATAAACTCCTATTCAATTGCTACATTTGTTAAAAAGAAAATTCTGTAATAAGTTTTAAGTTGATTCATAAGAATGCAGAATACTTTCTTCAATATAAAAACATGTTGAAATGTTTTTACCATAATAGGATGGCTGTAGTTTGTGTACAGTGTTTGTTTCATCCATTTAAAAAGGATGTATTGCCACTTCTTTTATGTAGCAGTTATACACTGCATGAAACACATTTATTTCTATTTAGATAAACTGTTTAATATTTATTAGTACAGTGATAGAAAGTAGTTTAAGCACCTTACTTTTAACATGAAGATTAATATTCAACTTTTAATATTATTGTAATGTTTTTGCATGTTTAATCATAAGCAACAAAAGAATGTATTAAAATAACTTGCTAACAATCATATAATACACTATTTTAATGTATCTTTGGAAAGAAAAGAACACACTACATTCAGTTTTTGTCTATGTATACATGTATTCTTAAAAAAACTTCGATGCTGAGTGCATTATCTCAGTTAGCTGACTGGACAACTAGTGATTTATGTACATTGTATTAAAATTACTACTGTGGTTTTTAAAAAGTTCTGCCTGAAATCTTTGTAACATTTTCCCGTCAATCGGGGTATTATTTTTCATTTTCATGGAGATATATATTTACTTCAATTAACTCTTGAGTTCTTTTGTTACTGAAAAAAAAAAAAGGCATGCATTACTCAGTTTAGTAACAGGCTGAATCAAAATCATTCTGACTAAAAAATTGTGTGAAATTTGTGTAAAATCACAAGGTCACATGTTGTGGATTTAATAATATTTGGACTCTATGCTTATTTCTTAACACTTTGTATCTGATTTACAAATAATGAAAATAATTTTATTAAATATACTTTTACAATGTCCTGTAAATGCAGTACTGCTGAATTAACCTGTGAAATGTTCAAGAATATATGCATGTGAGGTTCATTTTCAGAGTTTGAGTTGACTTAAATATTTCCCTGATATTCTTTTCACTGACACATTTAACAGCTTCTGTTGAAGAGTTGTTCCATTCAGTCATTTTAGGATGTGTTACATTAGAGGTTGTGTTGGTGTAAATAATATTTAAAGCAGCTTAATAACCAGAACCTTTCAATAGCGCATATACTTACTTTTATTACAGCTGTTATGATATGAACTGCTTATGGTGTTCAAACCAAACCTCAGGAAAATCACTGAAATTTCGAGTAACTATAACATGTCCCTAGATGGGTTAAAAAAATATTTAAATATTGTTAGGAATTTGTCAGTTATTTGTGCCAAATGACCGTAAACACTTGTAAAAGTAGCAGTTACAAAATTAATTCTTGTTTATTCATTTATCTACTATAGTTCAATATTGTTTATGTAAACACTTGTAAAAGTAGCAGTTACAAAATTAATTCTTGTTTATTCATTTATCTACTATAGTTCAATATTGTTTATGTAAACACTTGTAAAAGTAGCAGTTACAAAATTAATTCTTGTTTATTCATTTATCTACTATAGTTCAATATTGTTTATGTAAACACTTGTAAAAGTAGTCAAGTTACAAAATTAATTCT